GATCATAACTAGTCCCATCTTGGTTAGCGAACATTCGTACAATCACATCGGAGGATGCCCGTTTGTGTTGCAGATTGATTTGCGCTAATCTGGTGAATGTTCTAGTAATTGGAGGAGGGATCAGCAGGTGGTCTGTTTGGACTATCCTGTCCTTCCCTCTGCTGTTCCTTACTCTGATCCGCCAGAAGCTTCTCTTCATCTTCCTTGCTGATCACCTCATCCTCAGAAGAAGAGTTGACTTTAAGAGATTCGAGGCCTAAGCCCTCGGTCTCTTGCCCCTCGTTTTCCTTTGATGCAGTCTCATCGGTGAGGGTGTTCTCCAACAGAGAAGAGGCGGTCGAGGCTGTTGATTCAAAGTCCATTTTCTCTTCCTCCGCTTCTTAAGACCAGATACCGGGACTTGTCCAAACCTGTAGTGGATGGAGTGTCCCTTGGCCTTGATAGCTTCCTTACTTTTGGTATCGATCCCAATTGTAAGGACTTGGCCGTGGCCTTGTTCTTTCGCGTTCACAACTCGACACGTATTTGTGGAGAGTTCCGCGTTCTCAGGAGAGCTTTGGTGTCTTGCCCTTTGCTCCTTGGGAGGAAGATACTGATCGTATGCGACTTGGGGATGTCGTCTCCTCTCCCTGCAACGAGTTCAGGCCCCTTACATGCTTTCAGTCTGGGTGACATCTGAACCAGCCATTCGGCTGTCTGCTCAGATTCGCAGTCCACCAATACCATTCCCGAACGGAAATGTATACCAGAGAACCGCAAGCCTCTGGCTGTGCTTCCCATCATTTCTGCAACTACGGCCTCCTCCAGCGCCGTCAGTTTTTCGGGGCTAAGCATTACCTGAGGGTATTCCTTAGGCAATATCCCGATTCTATTGAGTTTCGCAGCTTTGGCGTATATCTCACTTACCTACTTATCCGATTTATTATCTGAAGTATGTTATACTTAGTAGGAAAACCTTCTATAACAAAATAGTTGCAATTTTCCCGGTGATTTATCCACCTAGAGTTAATCATATAGAAATATATTTCGATTAGCTAATTTCAATCAATGTAAGTGAACTTGCTGAGAAGTGACCTAAGTTGCACGTAGAATACGTAAATGCCCTTTTGCAACTGAAGCGAATTAAACGAGTATTAAATACTAAGCAGTATCAAATTAATTCCACTCCCTTGCCTTGTGCGGGTGTTCAAGTTTGTTGATATTTATCGGGGCATATTATTGTGTCAGAGGAAATTTATGAGGAAGTAAAGTTGCACGTGATAATTGCACGAGGATTGAGATAAATAAAAGCACAATGTAGATAATTTATTACATATTATTGTTTGCTAGTAAAATTTCAAATTGCCTACATTTACCTGGTTTGGAAATCTATCAGTTGCTTTTTTACATTTCAGAAATATAAAAGATAAGATTTGAATAATTTGAAGTTTTCACAACTGCAAACATGAAAATTATCTTCAATTTTACGTCATCCCTAAAAGTGTATGTAGAATATTTGAAAGATTGGTCCTGTCCTGGGACATAATTAGCATATAAATTACATATGTATACAACTCACCGTGACACCGGTTAAATCTAATATTCTTTGATCTTTCGTCAAAGAAGTGGTGTGATTATATATTACTTGCACGAAATAATTGTATATATATAGAGAATATGAAATGAAGGTGTTAGTTGATATATGAAATTTTGGGCACCTACATATTAGATTAAGTCTTGAGTTAGTAAAAGCATGGAGCGATGGTTATTTATATCGAATACTTAAGTTTGTGGTTTCTTTGTGAGATAATATTGAATAAAATTCCACTTTGACTGAGAGAGAACTTAAGATTAATTAGGAAATTATAAATTCCTAGGAATAGTGTTTATAATGGGAACATTCTGTTAGTGGGTGTTTTTCTAGAATTTATGCAAATTAATTAAATGATTGACACTTAATTGCATAGCAGTGCATCGGAGTTAAAATTGAATACCTACTATGGAAATTTAACTTTGAATTATGAGTGACGGTCTGAATATTATGAAAATTTAATTTTCTCTATGTTAGTGTATTAATACAAATATGCAAATTTTAAAATTATGCATAGTCATTCAAAATATAAACAATATACTATACTATCCAGTTTAAAAGTTGATAAACATGAAAGCAACAAGAACATGAACACTAGAAATCAAAACCCAAAGCTGAAAATGAATAAACAAAAAGCGCGAATATGGAAGAAACTCTGAAAATAAAGAAAACATGAGTTATCAGTAAAGGAAAGAGGTCAAACAGAAGAAACAACAGATATAGAAATAGAAAAATCACTTTACCTGAGACACAGAAGAAGAAAGACCAGTGATAATAATTATTATACTTATTAGAACATAAAAATATGAAAAAAAAAAGATAATCAAATACAGAAGAAATGAAATTAAACCGGTGGCCTTTATACCGACGGTAATAAAACTTTAGAATCCAATTAAATCAATTTCCCTGCCATTTATCACTTTGCCATTTAAAACAAACCCCCATGACGGGATTTGTCTGGCTAACGAACCGATCGAGTACAAAAAACTTAATGGGAAATGCTGCTGAATTATTTTTTTCCAGTGTTTTCCGGGAGCTCTAATAAAAATTCCTATTTACGACAGCGGTTTAACATTTATCCAATGTCATTTGATATTTTTGAATGGCGGAATTTGAGCCAACTCACGTTTCACGCCTAAAATTAGCTCGATACTTTTTGCAACTATGGAATATTTTGGTGGTAAAATAATAAATACAAGTGTAGCAAAACGCCCCAAGTACTCTATGTAATTAGTTAGATGGTAAATGTCGAGCGGTATATTGATGGTGTTTATTTCCTTGGAGCTGCTACCTATAAAATTGTGGAAGGATCTATTTGCAAAAGAGAGAAACAAACTATTGAGGTTTTCTAAATTATAAATTATTATACATAAAACCAAAAATTTTTTTTCAGCAAAATATCTTCCAATTCTGACAGCCTCATCTATTTTTCTAAATTCAATTACTTCACATCCGGTCAAAAAATGTCATTATTACGGACCACTGAAATATCCATACTAAATAAGAAACGCCCTATTCCTACTATTCCTAATAACTTATAAGTTAACTTATTTCAACACTTCCGATTCATTCCTATTAACTACCCTTCACTTATTTATGTAAATTCTTGAAAATTTCTAAGTCCCTTACTGACTACTTATGAAAAACCCAAAATAATTACCTATTTGTTTATTAATATAGGTATTACTAACATATTCTTATAAAACCTTAAAATAATTTCTACATGAAATTTAAAACCCTAATTCAAAAGTTCGGCACTTAAGATTATCAATGTCTCTTTATGAATAACAAATTTCAAATAAACTTTTCCAATACGTCTAATGATTATCGTCAGCAATTTTAATTCATGAAGAACAACAGTTCTTAAACTAACCACTCCATTAAATTGAATGATTACCGTCAACAATCTCATTTCATGCACAAGTTTCTTTTCGAAACATCCCATTTCATTTAATTAGAACAATTACTATTTTCGCAATCCGGGCTAACATACAAAATTATTTTAATTCTTATTAGTTCGTTACTATAGCCCTTAACTTCAATTGGACAATCCAATTCAAAATTCTTTAATAATCCCTACTCAAATCGATACTTATTATGTTATGTTAAGTGCATTATAAATTCCCTTCATATTTTCTTTGCAAAATTAAATTAGAATGTCATTATATCTGAAGGCAATTAAAGTTATGCAATAATGTTCCATAGTCAAAACACTCGAGTTATTAATATTTTTGTTCCAAAGTTAATTATAAAGTCAAAAAGTTTTTCTAGTAAAAATCACTCAAGTTTTTAGGCATTAAAAGTCATTGTTAATTCACTTCTTATCCTTCAGAATCATTGATAAAAGTCAGAAAATTATTAACCACTAAAGTACTTACATTTAACTTTTCACACGTAAAATTACTTAATTAATTACCTACTCAAAATTTTCAGCTAGCACGCACATAATAATTGTTGAACGCCTTTAAATGTTCTTTCACAATTTTCCGTACTTTTCAAAGACCTTTTCCGAGGCCATAAAAGAACTTTTCGCGAATTTCAACACTTATGACTCATTAGGTACTGTAGACTTTAACTCAAACTGCACTGGACTGCTAACAACTGGCAACTCAACTGACAACTGATTTCCACTTCTAAAACCGCCTGTTTCATATTTTTCGATTCTCCCGCAAAGTATTATTAATTATCCCCCAAAATCGTCAATAGGCGGTCGTTTGACCATCAATAAGACAATCCCATTGGCCGACCTAGATATTATCAAAATAATGATGCAATCTCCTTGAAATTTTTGTCATCTTTATATGTTTAAAAAATCGAATAATTATGTCGCAATATCCTGATTTATCGGGGTCAATACATTGGTTCAAGAATGTGAGGATAACACAAAGAAACCGATAGAACACGTGAGCCATAATCATGGATTTTAATTACATTGGCCTCGCTTAAAAAAAAAGTTCATTGATCGGATGTTAGGATGACATCACGCTGGAGGATTTTTAATTTATCGATACTGATTTGGAAATACCGGAAACTCAATTTTTGATTATTTGATATTATTTATTTTTTACAGTAAAGACATTGTGATCCACGGGTCTATTTTGCGGATCATTACACAAGGAAAATATCCATAAAAATACAGTTAAATATTTGAAATTATAGCTTTTCCAAAAGTTGCATTGTACAGAAATTGTATTTTTGATTTGCCTCACAAAGACAAAACACAATCTTTTTTTTCCGGACCAATTCATAGAAACGCGAACAATTAGTTTGGACTTGTTTAGGCCTTCCTAAAAAAAGATGCTCCAATTAATTGTCAGTTTATGTTTCAATTTGCCGCTTTTATTTTTTTATCTGCGTATATTTACGTGATAATTAGTTTTTATTTTATGCCCAAATAACAAAAAGGTACTTTTGTTTAACTTTTTTGCAGAAGCAAACAAAGCTACGCCTAAAAAATGTGGTGGACATCTTTAATCAAATGGGTAGTTTTCGGAATGGCGCTGGCAATGTTAGGGGGTAATTTTTGCAAAGCGGCACCTTCTCCAAGAAACGACGACATGTACAGGGAATTGATGAAACTGGATCAGCTTTATTCTTCCATTGCCAGACCAAGGTATGTATAATGTTTCATTAATATTAACCAACAAAATATTTTCATGTAAAAAGACATTTTGTTACTTGGACGAGATAGAGAAGGTTCCAAAAATTACAAACAAGCCTCTCTGTTTATTTTGGCGAAATTGAGTTTTTTGTATCCCAATATGGCAATTTAGATAAGCATTTTCCATTTTTGTAAATGAAAACCCTTAAAATGCAATTTTGTTATTTTCGATTAATCAACGTTTAATTGTTCAGATTGATTACAATCCCAGGTGTCCACGCCTGATAAAACTGATATTGATATGGAATTTTTTAGTAGTACGTGATCATAATTCATGTTCCAAATGTACATTATTGTTGGGTAACTGAAAGCAATTTTTAATTTCATCTAACATGCACTCTAAAATATGAACATTGAAATTGATATTTTCAATATAGCGATTGGCTGATTCGTCCGCTAAATATAAAAAGAGTTTTGATTTGTATCCTTTCTAATTAAACCTCGTGTTAGGCAGTTTGCGAAGTATACCGATATCATCAGAGGTGGGACAAAAAGTACAAAGGGCGCTCAATATGTTAAGGCTACAAGAATTGGATAACCTTTACTCACCCCGATCGAGGCCTAGGTGAGCAAAAGAGCTTTTTGGTACCAACTTTAAACTGATGTATTCATTATGTGTCAGTTTGAAGCTGAAATGTTTCAATTTTCTATAGCCAGAAACGATGATAGTCTAATATTGGATATATTTATGCATGAATTACTTTCAATTTCAAAGTAAAGTCGCTTCAATTTTCATCATTAAGTTTAATTTGAAGTAAACTAATTTCCAACTCTTGCACATTGAAATAAACTTTATAGGAATTTTCATTACTTCTATCTTTTTTCTTTTGGTAAAGTAATATTTCCAACAATCTATCTATATTGACTTTCAAAAATGTATTTCCTAAGAAAGCTCTCCAAAAAATAAATCAGCTTCTTTACACACAAACCGAAAACTTTTGGGCTTAAGGTAAACTCCCTGGTTAAATTAAACCACACAATCTCATTGTTCTGATGTTGTCGCACTGTGAAGTTTGATAATACAATTCGCCTTTGCAAGATTATCGGGATAAAAAGTTTTCTTGGGCAAATAATGTTTCGGTCTTAGGCTGTTAATATAATTATTTATGTATTATCATCTTTTCTGAAGCTGAAAAATATTGTTTAAAGCTCTGCGTCACCTTGGCGTCGCTCAGGGTTTTAGAAAAAAACCATTGTTTGTACAAAATACATATTGGTTGAATTTTTACTAAAGCCCTGCGTCAAGTCAGATTCAATTAAAAATTAAAATGCAAAAAAACGTGACGCAGGGCTTTTAAAAGTTTTCTCAATAACTCGAAAAATATAATTTTTCAATATGTTTTAGGTTCGGCAAACGTGGAGAAAGACACCAAGTGCCAGCTCTCAACAAAATTTCCCCGGAAGAATACGATAATAATCAGATTCAGGTGAGTGGTTTCCACAAACTCATGTTTCATTTTAAATATTAGATTTTTGTAAAAGAGCCATGAACTCATAAAGGCATTGTTCTAGTTTTAATATGATAATGTTGTACATGGACCTGCGAGGGATGTTAAATAGGGATTTTCTACTTTCATGTCTTTGTTTTGGTTCTAAGGAACTGTTTTTGAACTATGCAGGCTGGTAAAGGAATAACGCAAAAAAAAATTAACCTTCTAGGAAATATTTGAAATTATTTAGGTATGTAATAATAATGGATTTTTGGAGAGTTAAACTGTTCTCTTATGAATTATACTGGCACGGCTCTGGGGTGCGTGACAGAAATCTTGGGTTTGTTTATTCCAAAATCAAAGCCCAATTTACACAACAATATTTTTTGTCGTGTGGTTTTGGCATCTATCTTTCCTTCCATAACTTGTATACCTACTATCTTGAGATACGACGTGACCTAAGAATTCCACTTTCATTTGAAATAGAAAACACTTACTTGGATTGAGTTTCAAGTTGGCATTCCGAAGCGGTCAAAAACTTCTTTCAGGTTATTGACATGTTCTTGGAACGAATTTCCCATGATAATGACATCATCTGAATATACCAGGCAAGTTCTCCATGTAAGGCCTCGCAAAATTAGATGCTCAAACGTAGCTGGAGCATTACACAATCCGAAAGGCATTACGTTAAACTGGTAAAACCCGCTTCCGGAACTGAAGGCAGTTTTCTCTCTGTCATCTTTGTGTACTGCCACTTGCCAGTATCCACTCTTAAGATCCAAGGTGGAAAACCATTTGGAGCCCGATAGAGTTGTTAATGTATCGTCTATCCTTGGAAGAGGGAAGCTGTCCTTCTTGGTGACATCATTAAGCTTACAGTAGTCCACACAAAATCTAAGACTTCCATATTTTTTTGTAACCAATACTATTGGCGCAGACCACGTATTATTTGACTCTTCAATAATTTCCTCTTGAAGCCAAGGGCGCCCACAGGGAGGGTCAGGGGGTCATGGAAATTTCTTAAATTTTAATTATTTTCTATATATATTATATTGTAGGTCCGATGATGCTCGTATGAGCGAAACGGGCATACTTGAATTCGGCCACAAACCAGGTAGCTGCAGTAATCCTACCTTTGAATTCGATCAAATCATGAAACCCAACCTACTTCCCATAAAACTTACCTTATGATGTTGACAGATTTCGCATTGCATATGAGTTAATAAATCTAAAAAAGTGTGAATATGTATTTTGATGCGCAAAATAAAAAGATCTACCAAAATGACTATGGAAAGATTCACAGGCATTTGTTTTCTTATCCAGGTCTATTGAGGCATGTGCCATGTGTCGATGAGATAATCTGAAAATTTAACTAGACTTCGTGATTCGGCTGAATAGCTAACAACTCGAAAACAAAGAAATCGCTAACTTCTTGATTCTCCAAAAACATCATTCCGAAACAATTATGTAACGATTTACCGATTTCTGATTTTTTTTTTATATTCAATGCTTAAGTCTAAGTTTTGGATCTTCCTCTACCATGCCTGAGATTTTAGCTATTTATAGGAAGTAAATAAGTTGATTTAATATCTATATCTCAGTGTACCGATTTGCATATTGATAAATTGTCACCCTTTCCTTATTCCGGAACTGGTGAATTTTGTGGCTGAGTGCAAGGATCCCGGAGCTAAACACATGTCACTATTAGGTGAATCAAATAATAAACAATCATGTGGCTTTTCAAATTATGTTTTTGCTTAAATTTTGCATTGCAAGTGTCACATTCAAATGGATAAATATTCGAATGTGTTAATTTGTGAATCTTAAAATCAGCTTTCCATTTAAATTTTGATTTGCAAGTGTCACATTCAAAAGCATAAATATCCGAGTGTGTTGAAATGTGCCTTTGTAAATTACTTTTCTTCAAATTTTGCCTTGCAAGTGTCACATTCAAATGGATAAATACCCGAATGTGTTAGTTTGTGTATCTTCAAATTGCGTTTCCGTTTAAATTTTGATTTGCAAATGTCCCATTCAAAAAAATTAAATATCCAAGTGTATCAATATGTGTTCCTTCAAATCGCCTTCTTTTTTCGATTTTGCATTGCAAATGTTACATTTGAAATTCTCCTCATCCGAGTTTGTTAATATGTGGCTTCTAAAACTACGTTTGTGTTCAAATTTTGCATTGCATGTGTCACATTTAAAAGGATAAATATCAGACTGTGTTAATTTGTGTCTCTTTAAACAGTCTTTTCCTTTGAATTTTGCTTTGCAAATGTCACATTCAAAAAGATAACTATCGAAGTCTGTTGATATGTGACTTTTCAAATTACCTTTTTGTTTAAATTTTCCTAATTTAAATTTTTCTTTAAATTTTGCATTGCATAATATGTTGCATTTAAAATTCTTCTCGTCCAAGTGTGTTAGTTTGTGTTTCTTCAAACTGCCTTTTTTTTTAAATTTTGCTTTGCAAATGTTGCATTTGAAATTCTGATTCTGCTTCTAAAATGATAATTTAGACTGAAGTGCCCTTTTTTACGCATGAAAAAATTTATTCAATTGATTTTGACTCCCCCTACATATTTTTCTGCGGGCGCCCCTGCTTGAAGCACTTTATCAATTTGGTTTTCCACTTCCTGTTGTTTAGTTACTGGCATACGTCGAGGTGATTGTCTAATTGGGTGTGCCAATTCAGTATCAATTTTGTGTTGAATTAAACTGGTTCGTCCGGTTTAATTATCCATCACAAATACTTCTGCTTCTTTCAAGAAATCTGTGACTTCTTGAAGTCTATCTGGATCAAGGTGTTTCCATGATTCCTCCAAAGTCTGCATCAAGGTGTCTGTATCGAATTTCGGATTTACAGTATGTCGCTTTTTGCTTTTCTTTTTGTCGTTTAGCCTCTTCTCGTTGTTGTCTAGCTTCTCCTTCTTGTTTTTTTTTTACACCTAGCTTCTTCTTCTTTTTGTATTTCTCGTTGTCGTTTAGCTTCTTCTTCTTGTTTTTCTTTTTGTCGCCTGGCCTCTACGTCTTGAAAATTCACTATCACAGTCAAAATCGGGTATACAGTCACTTCTGGGGTAATTACATAATCGGTTAAGGGCCAAATTATGGACTGACTGATAAACGTCTGGTTGTTAACTAGCAGGTACTCCAGCACTAGAGAATAGAAAGTACCTGCTAGGTAACAACCAGACACTTACCAGTTGGTCCATAATTTGGCCCTAAGTCTCTTTTTGTGATTGTCACTGCTTGCACTGACTAACTCTCTTAGTGTTCACTTAATGTCCACACTATTCTGCAATCGGATTTCACTTTGCAGTCCTCGAATTATATTCCACTACTAACTAATACCGGCCTTTATATATTCGTTATCATTTTCCGAATAGCACTGTAAAATCTAGAATCAGCTGTTCAATTCTGTACACCTTGGCGCTTCCGCCAGATTTTCTCGACAATACAATATATTATTTTTAGGCAGATTGATAAAATTTAGTACACAACATGATAAAGGGCGCTTGCTTTTAAGATTGACGAGTTTGGTCCAAAACTATCTACATACATTATTTCAAATATTAAAGCCCTGTGCACTCCCGGAGTCATTTGTCAAAATTGATGTTTGATATTGTCACGGATTCCGGGTTCACTAAAACCCACTTCACAAACAGTATCAACTTTCATTGATAATTCAATTATCAGTTATCGAATCAGGTGCAACAAAGCTACTACTTCGCACTATCTAAGAAAAATTTGACAATTGTATTCCTTAGAATTCGGCCGGGCTCCCGAGGCAATTTTGTAACAGTATAATGAAGTACACTTGCTTTAAAAACATTGTGACTATGAGTTTGGTCAAAAACTATCCGCATAAATTAAATCAAATGTTGAAGACCTGTGCAGTTTTGGAGTGATTTCACAAAATTGATATATTTCAAGAAACAATAATGTTTGGCTTGTATTACAATCAGATAAACTTTCATTTTCATCTAGATATATAATTTCATTAGCATTCCTAAATAGATGAAGGATTGTAATAAAATTTCAAGGTGGAATATTTTGCAGCTCAGTGAGCAATTTCACCACATTTATTGCAAGTATTAGAACAATTTAAGATCATTCAGGAAAGATTCAATGAACCTTTCTGATTAAATTCAATTGCACATAGAATTTGTAAAGTAGGTATACAATCTAAATATTGAATAGATAAAAATCCCCACTCAACTTTACAGTGTTTGCTGTATAGATTTGTAGTCTGGCAAGAATATAAAAATCTCTCTAATATCAAATTGAGTAGATTTAATTTCTACAAAGATGGAAAGAAAATTACCCAAAGGTTAAATAATTAGTAACCAAACTTTTAATCCCACTCAAGACAGCGTGTTGCTCTAAAGATAAGCGTGTTTAGGCAAAATTACTTTTCCTCAATTGCGGAAATTCCCTCCTGTCCTTTTTCTTTCGTTAATCTAATTTGTTGTTTGTAATTATCCCTAATTATACTGTACCGTGGTTTTGGAATGTTTTATTTTCTAATGTAGGTAACCAATAATGAATTACCTACAGAACATAAAATTTAGAGGATTAATAATATTTCTCGAACTTTTGGTGCAAGAATTATTATAGCGATATAAAGTATCTTGTAACTATGTTATTTATCACTATAAGAAAAAAAAATGTTTGCTCACACACATCGTTGTGTATCATTCGCAATAATTGAGAAAAATTATGCAAATATTGAGATAGACATGGTATTTTGCGATACTCAATGGAGCGTGAACAATTTGTATACATTTTATCGACCGATGTCTTTTTCGTTTAGTGGCACTTTCACAAATATCATTGCCTATGAGATAAAAGAAAAACAAATAATGCATTTTTGTTTTGTAATTGTAAAATATAGATTCGGTTGTCAAGTATAGAAATCGCTTCTTGAAAAGCTTAATTATATTATTTGAAAAGTTAGAATAAGGCAACGGTACCTAAAGTTATTTTATAAT